GCTAATTTTTAAATATTTAATAATTTTAAAAATTAATATTAGATAATATTTAATAATTTTAAAAATTAATATAAGATAATATTTAATAATTTTAAAAATATTTTTGAATATATAATAATTAAAAAAATGAAGAGATAAGATAAAATATATAGGTGAAATAAGAAAAATAAATATGAAGAATTTCAAATTCTCCTATTTTTGGGAGAATTTGAAATTCTACTATTTTAAGGAATTTCACAAATGCTTGGATTTCAAATTCTTTGTAAATTCCTTATCCAAACAAAACATTTCACCTCAAGGAATTTAAAATTCTTCAAATAAATGAATTACTCTATATAAATTTCTCATCCAAACATACCATTAGCCTGCAGTTAAATTACCCTTAGCCAAACCAGATCACACACCTTTCCCATCTGAAGCCTCCAACCCTATGCTACTATCTCTTTTTTCCTAACTAAATTCCATTGTTATGGGAGGATGCCTATAAAAAATTATCATTTTAATACATTGTCCATCAGCAAGACCACCCCCACCCTGCAGCTAAAGTGTAAAACTACCTGTTCACAAAGATCATTGTTAATGTTCATGACATAGTGCACTATATGTGGTTGGTTGAAAACATACCATAGACAATTGCCTCCATTGGTTCTTTGTATCATAAACCCTCCAACAAATACTACCGACAGTGAAGATTTGAGCCAACTGACACTTCAACTGATTCAACTCCAAACTCAGCAATTCATTCAGAATTGTTATTGGACTTGGGGCAGTAAAGGAAAGTTGGTTAGTTGAAACAACCAAACTGTTACAGCAGTAAAATCGCTTGAAATCCCTGTATGCTACCAGCATGGGGAACCCATTTTTAGACTCAACTCCTAGCAGTTACTGGTCTTAATAGATAAATCTTAAAATTGTTGCCAATGGAGGACTGTTGTACAAAAACCATCATACAATTATACATCTAGCTAAGGGTAATTCAACGACAGCTCAGCTCCAGCTTCATAGACAAAAAGGGATGGGAACCTGTTTTATTTTTCTGTCTTTGAAACAAGCTACATTTCTAGCAAATCATATCATTGGCTTGCTAGACTATATTTACATATACAGCTTCTATATCTTGGTAGTTAATTCAGGATTTCAGGAGAATATTGCTTAGGAAATTGACAAAAAAAAAAAGAAGAAAAAAATGCTTGCATATAAATGAGCATTATTCATATACCTTGACCTACAAGGACTGCTCGTCGTTGTCCAGCCGTTGCTTTGAGCAAAGTATTGAGATCATAAGATGTGTATGGTCCATCTGTCAACCTTCCAGGTCTAAGATGCATTTAAATATGCCATATGAGGAGACTTCAAAATTTTAAGACACGTAATTCAAGTTAAAAGTCCTCCCTCTCTTTGTTTGTTTCAAGTATGAAAAGGACAAAAAATTCACTTTACCTGATTATGGTAAATGGAAAGCCAGAACTCCTAAGAAAATCCTCCCCCATCTTCTTATACTTCAGGACACCAAATAGGTTCATAATGCTGCATAGAAAAAGGAACATTAACAAGTCCATGTGTGTCACTGAATAGTTATATCATTGATCACCTGGAATTTATTGCCTAATGAACTTCTTTACCAAAACCAAGTAAAAGGCATTTTAATGTAGTTAAAGGTACTAATGAAGAAGCAGTAGGGATAACAAGTATTAGTGATATCTCAGTGTTTGGACTCATACTAACAGCATAAGACAATTCATCTCAAAAGGAGGCTGCTACAAAAGGATGAATATGGGAATGATGCAGAAAAAGAATTTAAGGGGAATCATTTTTTCCAACATATACAACAACTATCATGTCTTGTCTCACTAGGTGGGAGTAACGACATATATTAATCAATCCAATTTGGCTCTATCAAAAACTAAATTTTCATTAATGAAGGTTGGCTCAACTGGTCAAAGAGTGTCAATTAAAAGGTCTTGGGTTCAAGTCTTACTAGTGGTCCATCATTGATAAGTCCTCTACAAGTACCAATGTAAACATCATTTAGACTTGTGTTGTTGTGGCATTCCCTAGCCTTGGAATAAGGCATCCCCCCCCCCTTCTCCTCAAAATTTTTATCAGGCTACATTCCATTTTAGACTCACCAAAGCCTGCTTGACTTGCTAAAGGGATCTAACACAAGGGTATGGCTTGATATTTAAATGTCTTTCTTCAATCAAAATCTATGCGGCACAATATTGAGCAATTCGTATGTGATGATGAGAAAAAGATTTTTTCAAATTTCTGTCTAGTGCGAAGACCAATCTTGTGTAAGGTCCTAGCAGAAGGAGGAACAACCTAAATCAATTCCGTTTTCAATGGAGACATCATCTACTCATGGTTTATTACAAAGTTACAGATTCTCTGTTGGATACAAGGAAGTGAATATCTAAGGCTAAATTCAGAATTCAAATTTTGTGGATTTAGGAATTGCTATTACTGCCCCTTCCCCTTCTGCAGGCCCTCAGTCAACTTGTAATTTGGGGGAATAGGATTACAAGTCCTAGTAATCATAACTAGGATAAGTTATCCTATTAATCAATCATAAATAGGATAAGTCCTATATAATTTTTGTAACTAAACAATAAACATAATGAAACCAAATCTTCAATCAAATATAGCCTACAGAAAACCAGTTATTGAATTCCAACAACAATATAAACATCGGTTAATTTTGATCTTAAGCTAATTTCATTTTGTGTTACACTTGAATTTGAAACTGCATGGATGCATGGATGTAATGAAAATGCAAGACAGAAGCAATTTTATTATTATTATTATTTTATTTATTCTTTTTTTTTTTGTGTAATGCCCTTCCATATGCCCCTACCTCATTTTCTAAATGCTTCAGCTTTTTCAACATTTGCGAAGCTTACCTTTTTCTCATGTTGTTGCTTTTGCTCTTTATTGTCATCATTCGTGGAGGGATCCATTCCCATGATGTTATTTTCTCAATCTTTATTGATGAGTATTATTTTGGAAGCCACTCCTGGCTTTAGTTAGGAAGTTATTTCTGGTCTTGGCATTTTTTGGATCATCCTTCATTTAGTTGAGGAGTAAGGCGTGATGGCCTCTTCATGCTTACAGACTTGCCTGTTTGGTCGATTCTATTCTATTCCACTATTGATATGTCTTTGCTTAGTGGGCACATAGAATCACTTGGGGTTGCCGTTTGCCACTGCTTGGCTCATGGTTGGCTATTTAGCTTGTGCTTCATCCTTATGACTCCTTCTGACCCATAGCAAGCAAATTGCATGGATGCATGGATGTAATGAAAATGCAAGACAGAAGCAATTTTATTATTATTATTATTTTATTTATTCTTTTTTTTTTTGTGTAATGCCCTTCCATATGCCCCTACCTCATATGCATGCGATGTAGTTTATGTTCATGTGTTTGTTCCTAAACATGCAATTCAATTTTTTTGTTGGAAAATTAACCTGTGCGCGTTAAGGTTAATATTGATGATTCCTGTTTATCCATGCCGTTTGTGATTATTGCTGGGATATACTCCTTTAAACTTAAGGTTTAAGTAGCTCCTTGATTATCTAGTCGATGTGTAGTCAAGCGTCTCCAAACTCTGTTTAGGGACATCTTTGTCTTCTCTTTGTGAGTGTTCACTGTGCTTTTTCTGTGTATCTTTTTGGTACCATTTTAATGCCATAAGGGTCAAGAGAAAAGAAGGAAGGAATTTTATTATTATTATTTTGTTTTTTTCAAAAGGGTTGTTAGAAGGGATTTTTCAAAAATGGTTTTTTAGAAGAAGGGTTGGCCAAGGTAGGCTTTGGTGTTTAGGGTTATTAAACAAAACCTATTTGCTGCAAGAAAGTTATCATTGTGTTTTAGCCTTTTTGGAAAGTGGAGTGATGACTTGGGGTCGCGCTCTGATTGAATGATTCCCTTGAGTTGCCTTTCGGTTTTCAACTCAAGTTGCTGCTTTAACGTCCTAACTTTTGCCTAGGTCACTTGGGATGTGTTTCCTAGCAGACATTTTTCTTTTGATCCTTACTTTTGCCTAGGTTACCCTTTTTGATTGTAGGCCCCATAGCGGATCTTGCCCTAATTTTGCGTAGCCCCTCCTAGTGGGTTTCTACTAGGCTTTCATTTTTGCAATGTTTGTATGGGATGCCCTATTTTTATTAAACCTAGTCATGTTTGGATTCCTGATTGTTCCTTTGTTATCCTTTCCATGCTATTATTGAGTAACATCTTTGTCGCAAATACATCTTGTTTATTAAGAGTTAATGGATGAGGCCTAGAGTGAACATTTAAAGGGAGAAGAGAAATGAAAGAATGTTATGGCATTTAAAACAGTACTTCCAAGTTACACGTGCCCCTTTAGCAAAGCTCGAAGGCCTGGGCATGCCCCGAGTTCGTGATTCATACACAGAGAGATTAATCGAGGTTAACCCTTAAAGAGGCATGGTTGACGATTGGTTGAACTACGTTAGGAACACATTCCCACTTGCTTGAATGTGGGTGTTTCGACTTTGGAGTGAAACCTTTATGAATTCTTGCTTTCTAAAGGGAATACTCAAGCCGCCTTTCGGTTTTCAACTTGAGTAGGCATTGCCTTTTCATATATATATATATATGCACTGACCGTACCGCGAAGCCGAGCTCCAAGCTCGGCACCACAGTGCAAGATGATCTCGGGCACGCGTCATACGACGTCAGCTCGACATTCAGGTGAATCACAACTGATTCCCGAGTATCTCGCCCATACGAGATCCATTATCTAATCACTGATTACCGAAGATCTCGCCCCAGACGAGATCCGCTGTCATATCTTATCTCAGGCCCAGAGCCTAGAGCAAACCTAATTCACTCCAAGGTACGTGCATTACTTATACGAGACTATCACTCATACAAACCCTAACTTTAGCATCGAAGTCTCTTTTGCAGGTACCACCCCCATCTTGGAGCACCAGCGTACCCGTGAAGGAGGCTCACCAATCTTACTTGAAAGATCGTCCCTACGACAAATTCCAGTAAGAACAATTATAAACTTGATGTGATTATAAACTTGATGTGTTCTTTATAGGAAGATATAATGTTTAAAATTTAAAAAAAAAATGTCAAATTTAGATGATGTTGTAATTTATAATTGTGAAAAGCTGGAATAATTAACTTATTTCACAACTATATTATCAATAAGAATATCTTTTATTAATTTTAATAATCTTTAAAGTTCATGATCAATATTTTGAGTAAATAAAAATTAATGAAATCAAATGCAAACTATTAAAATCAAATATTACTTGAAAAAAATAGTATTTTAATATCTAATGCACTATTTATATTTTATTAGAACTTATCTAAGATATAAGAGAAGTTAGAAATTGTATCTAATAAAATATACCTCACTTTAAGTAACTGTCAATTCAATATAATTTTAGTATGTATATTTTATATAATAAATATTTATTAAATGTAACTAAATTTTACGGTAAATTATATCTACGAATAAATATTATATTTGAATATCGCGTAACCGACTCCCTTACCCAACTCTGGTTGTAGTGGCCAAAGTTGATTTTTAAATCAATTGCCTTATCCCTTTTTCCAATGTTTTGAGTAAAACATTGGTGGCGACTCCACGAACCCTCCTTTTATGAAAACCTCTAATCCATGGAGGGTCCCGCTTGGGATTAATATGGATTAGTGAGCCTTTTAATAAAATTGCTCGTTTGACGAGGTCTCAGTTTGAGAATAAGTCATTCTAGCAATCCACTATTTTTAAACAAATAAACGAGTCCAACCATCCTTCGCGAATGCCGAAAGCCCGTTTCGGGCCGGTGGCGACATGGGGCTCTAGCAACCCTTACCGATCTTGTACTAGTTTTGGGGATCTAACAACCCTTACCGATCTTGTAATAGTTTTGGGGATCTAGCAACCCTTACCGATCTTGTACTAGTTTTGGGGATCTAGCAACCCTTTCTGATCTTGTACTAGTTTTGAGGATCTAGCAACCCTTACCGATCTTGTACTAGTTTTGGGGATCTAACAACCTTTTCCGACCTTGTACTAGTTTTGGGGATCTAGCAACCCTTTCCGATCTTGTACTTTCTTATTGGTGTTGTTGGATGAAAAACTGTTGCCCCAAGGAGGATGGGCAGGAGACGCTTGATGTGCCCTTGTGTTGGTGGGTAGAAATAGATGGATGACAGGAATTCTGGTGTTGCCCCTACCATGTGAGTATTGTAATGCCTCTCCAAGCGTCTGCTTGTGGTAGGTTTTTTTTTAATTTCATTTTTTGTTTAGCTTCGGCTTTTTCATATTTGAAGCTTGCCTTTTTCTGCTATTTTTCTAAATGCTTCAGCTTTTTCAACATTTGCGAAGCTTACCTTTTTCTCATGTTGTTGCTTTTGCTCTTTATTGTCATCATTCGTGGAGGGATCCATTCCCATGATGTTATTTTCTCAATCTTTATTGATGAGTATTATTTTGGAAGCCACTCCTGGCTTTAGTTAGGAAGTTATTTCTGGTCTTGGCATTTTTTGGATCATCCTTCATTTAGTTGAGGAGTAAGGCGTGATGGCCTCTTCATGCTTACAGACTTGCCTGTTTGGTCGATTCTATTCTATTCCACTATTGATATGTCTTTGCTTAGTGGGCACATAGAATCACTTGGGGTTGCCGTTTGCCACTGCTTGGCTCATGGTTGGCTATTTAGCTTGTGCTTCATCCTTATGACTCCTTCTGACCCATAGCAAGCAAATTGCATGGATGCATGGATGTAATGAAAATGCAAGACAGAAGCAATTTTATTATTATTATTATTTTATTTATTCTTTTTTTTTTTGTGTAATGCCCTTCCATATGCCCCTACCTCATATGCATGCGATGTAGTTTATGTTCATGTGTTTGTTCCTAAACATGCAATTCAATTTTTTTGTTGGAAAATTAACCTGTGCGCGTTAAGGTTAATATTGATGATTCCTGTTTATCCATGCCGTTTGTGATTATTGCTGGGATATACTCCTTTAAACTTAAGGTTTAAGTAGCTCCTTGATTATCTAGTCGATGTGTAGTCAAGCGTCTCTGAAAAACACTTTTCCAAAACCATCTTAATATTCAAGTAAACCAAAAGAAGAAATATTTATAACCATCATGGACTGGTGAAACTGATGTTTTAAGGTTTAAATTAATTTCTCACTAGAATTTTGGAATGTCCCTATTCTGAATTACCAGTAAAAAAAGTTCTTCTTTCTTGATAGCCAACTGAGGATAGTACAAAAGGCACAGGCAACTTGGTTAATTAAGAACAAAATATGAGTTATACTTACTTCCATGGCAATTCATTAAACTTGGTCACACCTATCGATGACACAAGAACAACTCTCTTCACCGAGGAAGGCAATGCAGATACTAGATTCTTTACTCCCACCCAATCTTCAAATTAAATACTTTTAGTCAAAATCAAAATGTAAACAAAAGCTTGAAATGTAGATGAATTTATGCTGAAGGCAACTTGGAACTTTGAATAAAAGGCATCACTCTAATCCTTACATTTTTGACACTTGAATCTTCACCTAACTAATCTTCTACTTCGTTCTAATTATGACATCCAATGATGCAAGATATGATTCTTACCAACCCTCTCTGGTGTATTATCATCATCCCACCGCCTTGAAGGAAAAGCTGTTGTTCCTGTGCAGCAAATCACGTGTGTGACACCCTATAAAGCAAGTAAATAAAAAGCAAGGAAATCGGAAGAAATTTAACACATTTTCTTTCAAATGAAATGACTAATGAAAATAATTCAGATCAATCAAGTATTGTTCAGCAAAATTCTCTGAGGAGCTGACCTCAAATATGGATGGATCCATATCCTCCTCCTTCCTTGTGTCTCCTTTGAATACCTGTTATGTTCAGAAGCTCTATATAACTACAAAATAAATCTAGAATGGATGAAATCAAATTAACACACAAAGTTTGTAGCTCCTCGTAGGGACTACTAATGCATTTAAATTTTCACTTTGACTACTCATTAAAGAGTAGATGACGTACCTGCAGTTTCTCCTTATCTTGTTCACCAAACAGCTCTGTAGCTTTCTCAGGATCCCTAAGTATCAAGCGTGACTTAACATCCCGCTGAAGCAATGATGCTACTACCAGCTGCCCTGAATAGTAAGGGAACAACTGCCTCACAAACTTCCCCAAGCAAATTATTGGCATAAATTATGTATGCATTTCCACATTTTACAGCTCTAATCTGAACGCATAAAATAGCATTAAACAAAGGGGATCTCAAAGGCATACAAATGTATAAGGAAGGAAGGATACACAAATTAAAGAAGTTACTAGTTACTATACTCGTGTTTATTTAGTTGCAGTATTTCAATTAGTTCATAGTAAATCTTCAATTTAATACTACTAATTTCAGTCGGAGTAATAAAATAAAAGTAATTATAGTAATCTCCCTTTAATTTAATACTACTAACTATATTTATACTCTTTTTTCCTAAACAATTAGAGTAAAACAGTATTTGGATCCTTGAAAGGGTATGTCATTAACTCTTTAGTCCTTGAAAGTAAGAAGAAAAGAAAAGAAAAAAGAAAAAAAAGCAAAGGTCTTGAAAGTTCTTGTTGTTTCTTTTAAATCCCTTAGTAATCACTTATTGTCATTTTAGTCCCTAAATATACATTAATGTTATTATTTTAGTCACATTTGTTTTTTGAATTTTGGATTAAAGTGAGTAATGATTTACACTTTAAACTTCAAGGATTATTGAATTTTTATACTTTTAAATACCAAAGTGTCTGCGAGACAACGACATACATTTTCAGGAATTTGAATGGTGTTTTAGCCAAAAAAAAAATTAACTTTCTTCCTTTAATTTAAATATAATTCTTAGTTTCTTACACATTAGCCCTTATCATATAATAATATTTACACATACCTTCCCTGATTTCAGGTAGCCATATATCAAAGCAGAAAGGGTCAAGAGAGATCCGCGTAATTTTGCAAGTATAATTAATGTTGGAGATATATACAATGAGTACAGCTCCAATTTTAAAAATGAGTGATAATAGTCATATGACCATTTAAAAATAATTATTATTTATCTTTTAACATAACTGTTTAAACATGATGTGCAAGTCTATATCTATGATTCTAAATTTTCTTAATAACCGTGTTCTGGCTGGTTAAGTTCCAGCGATCGAGACTCGATTTGGATAAATTTTTCTGCAAGTATTCATAGAAGAAGAAAGGTTTAATATATTATTTGATCTTTGAACATCTTGAGAATTTTTAACTATATCCCTAAACTAAATTTTTTTATGATTAAGTTTTTCCTTTTTTATATTTTGTAATTTAGCGGCCAAAGTTAGTGGTCCATTTACAATCCGTAAAATTTGACAAAATATTCTTTATATTTTCATACAACCAATTTCAATGTTTTGGAAATGATTTTGGGGGGTACTTTCACGTTTAAGGAAACTAGACAAATTTCAGTAAATAGGGTTTAAGGGTTTGGGATTAGTAATTAGAAAGATTACGAATATGTTAAAAGATTAGGATCGAAACTTGATATATATGACCGATGACATAGAATAATAATATAATATGGTTGCATAAGTATATAAAGAATATAAAAAATATAAAGAAAATGTTGTCAAGTTTCATGTATTGTAAACGAATCTCTAACCGTGAAAATCAAATAAAAAAAAATATATAAATAAATAAATTAAAGGAAGGACCTATTTCGAGAAAATTTAGGGAAGAAATGATATATTAAACAAAAAGAAAAAAAAATAATGAAATGAGTTGAACTTCTCAAATCTAACTAGTAACTATACACTTTGAATTATAAATACTAAAATCCCCCAAAACTAAGGTGATAAGCTGATTTTAACCTAGATAAAAGTCTAATCCAATTTACCTTCATATTTTATTCCTTATATATGATCATAATAAATTTTATCAATCTATCCGAACAAAAGCTAAACTAAGTTCAGTAGTGTAATTATTCCACGCAAAATAAAAAATAAAAATAAAAATGGGAACTATAAATTGAAGAGTGAGAGAGGCGAAGAAAAACGAGAGTTTACCAACGCCTCCGGAGCCACCAACAACAAGGACGAGTTTGGAGGAAGATGAATTGCGTTGGGAATCCTTCTTCGACTCCGAACTTTGAGCTTGAACCACTTCCGCGTTCAGAGCGTTTTGCGCATTCGCGTAAACGCGCTTCGAATTGCATCTCCGTTTTGAAGCCAAAGAAGACGGAGAAAAAACTCCGTTAGGCGATTTCGTGAAGAGGAAAAGTTGGCGCTGAGAAACACAGTGGTGTCGCTGGGCGAAAGGCAAAGGGAGCGTGGGAGATGTAGAAGCCATGAAACTCAAACGCGGACACAGAGCAAGAAGCGTGTCACGAGGAGGAAACTGCAAGTCTGCAACTACTATAATTAGACGCCACAATTTTTTATTTTATTTTGTTTTGTTTTTGGTGTTCGTTGATAAACGGGCACCTCAGAATTGAGCTTAATTGTTTCGGTGCGGTGACACGTGTCCAGTTGTTATGCCTCTCTCTTTGGTGTTTCCGGTGTCCAGTGTGAATGTGTGATCATAAGAGGAGTACTTATTTCAGTAAATTACGATCCATCTCCATTTTTTCGAGATTTATTTATTCTTAGAAGCATTTGGTTGGGGAAATACTTTTACTTTTTGAAAATTGTAAAAGATTATTAAAAATATACTTTTTTAAGAATTATTTTTATTTTATTTTTTTGTGGAAGCATTCTTAAGAGTACGATTTTGATTTTTTTAAGTTAAAAGAAAATTTTATGTATTTAAGAAAATCATAATATCTTTTTTTTAAATAAAAAATTATTCTCTTTCTCTCCTTCTATTTCTCTTTCTCTCTCCCTCTCCTCTTCCTCTTCTTCTTTTCCCTTCTAATTTTTTTTTCTCCCTATCTCCTTGTCTCTCTCACTCCCTCTCCCTTTCTTCCCTCTTTCCTTCTATTTCTCTTTTTCGCTCTCTCTGTCTCACTCCTTCTCCTATATCTCTATTTCTTTCTTTTTCTTGTATTTCATTATTTCTTGATCTTGTCAATTTTGATAATATTATTAATGTTTGTTTTATTTTTATAATTTAATGATATTTGTTAACACCTTTTTAATAAAATGAAGTAATATATTTTTTATCATTCTTAATTATTATGTAACATTTTTTTTTGTTTATCTCTTTTATTGAATTTTGTATTTAAATAATTTTAACTATAAATTTTTTATTTGTTAAAATAGTTTAATGTCATATCTATAATAAGATTTGAGTAAATAAATATATCTAACGAGTTTATTTTAATAAAAGATATTTTTGTAAAAAAAGCATTTATATATCGAAGAATATATTATTATTACCAAACATGAAAATCTTTAATTCTCAAAAATCCTATATGAATATTCTTAAGAATCTTTATGAGTAACCAAATAAATTTTTTACTATTTCTAATAATTATAATTTCCAGAATTTTTAATTCCTAAAAATCATAATTCTTGAGTATGAAAATTTTTTTATCCTATTAAATGTCGTCTTATAGTGAGACCTCTTAAAAATTGAAAAGAAGTCAAACTTTTTTTCAACTCACAAACAATATCAATTATGTTAAAATATTTATGTTATGTGACATGCACATGATTTTTTTTTAATTTTCTTTTAAAAAATTCTCTTTTTAATCACTACAAGAAAAACGTAAATTTCTTACAGATAATTTTGGACAGATACAAATCTTTCAGAAAATATAAATTTTTCGACAAAAAATTTCTGAAGGAAAAATCCGTCGAAAAAATCCGTCAAAAATTTTCGACGGATAAATCTGTCAGAAATTACCTACAAATTTTTCCATTGGAAATTTTTGACGGATTTTCCGTCAAAGAATTTATGTTTTCGATGAAAAAATGATTCGTAAGAAAAGTTATATTATTGATGGAATATTTCCAACAAATTTATATTTGTTGAAAATGTAAGAATTTATTTACAAAAATTGACAATCATATATTAAAAAAAGTAATAAAATTATATATATATATATATGTGTGTGTGTGTGTGTGTGTGTGTGTGTGTGTGTG